TTGCCATACCCCCTCAGGGGGGTCCCTCTAAATCATAATTCACTGACAGGAAGAACCGCAACTCGGATCGGTGCGACCTTCACCAGTGCGGCCTCCTGCCGGCGTCCAAAGATGGCGCCAGCTGAGGGAGGATCTGGAGAACCGAGCTTCAGAGGAACAGGAGGAAGGAGACGCAGGAGACGTGGGAGAGACAGAAGAGGCAGAGGTATCTGCTGCAGAGGCACAGACAGGAAGGGAAGATGATGGCGTTTCGGATCATGTGGAACAGGACGCGGAGGCCGCAGCAGAGGCAGAGGCAGCTGCTCAAAGACAGGCACTGGCAGAAGCGGGAGAAGACGAGCCGGCAGAGGAGACGCAAGACGAAGAAGGAGAAGAAGAGGAACCAGAGGCAGGGCCAGAGCAAGAGGAGGGGATCTCGGCTCCGGGCGATGGCCGTGATGACCCCGGAGATTCGGATGATCCGGACACGGAGGACCCGGAGAGGGACATTGGCACCGCAGCGGAGCCGGTATTGGATATGGAAACAGGTGATGAAGCTTCTTTGGCAGCTGAAAGAGAAGAGGCAACTTCCGCTCCCGATGCAGAAGATCCTGACGGCACCGAAGACTCGGAACCGGCTGATGGAACGGGAGGAGCCGTCGGCGAAGGCCCGGACCCGGATGAACCTGATGCACCACCTTCACCAGACGATGACGCAGATGATGATCCCGTGCCGCAAGGTGACATGCCTCTGCAGGACGAGAGAGATGACAAGGATGGAGACGGTACAAGCCCTGAGCCTTCAGATGGTGCAGCTGATGCCACAGCCCGGGGAGAAGATGAGGCTGAAGACGGCGGCACCGTGGAAGACACTCAGGATGCGGATGGTTCAAGCCCGATTGCAGATGGTGGGAATGATGCAGATACAGGTGGTGAAGACGGCGAACCAGCAGCAGGTACTGGAGATGAGTTTGAGCCACCAGATGATGAAGGAACCTTCTCCTATGATGAGAACAATCTTGACAGGCTTGCAAGCCAGAGCCAAGCTCTGGCAAAAGTTCTGTCCTCTCCAATGCCGGATGACCCAATCTCGGCATGCTCGCCATCCAAGATAAATTCCTTGTATGACGTGGCGAGGAGGGAGGCTCCAGACATCTTCAACGCTTGCACCAACCTGGTGGTTGTCCGCATTTGCTGCCTCCTGCCGACGCTTGTGATCTTTGCTCTGGGGTCGGTGTGGGGGTATGAGCTTTATGGCAAGCTATCTCAAGGGTATCTGGTGCCTTTCATCCCTGCAGAGTCGACACAGGCCCGGTTCCCAGTCTTCCTTGCAAGCGAAGCTGCAAAGCCATTGCAAAGCGTTGCAAAGCTTTCTTTCCGGCCCTTGTGTCTGAATGCGTGGTGTCCCAGGTTCAGATGACCTATATGTCGGAGCCTCTCATGGTCCAGTCCGATCCGCAGGGGCCATGAGACTACGAGGCCCCGAGGACGTCGCCACCGTGATCATGCCGTGCTGGCTTCCCCCGAGTCTTCGGCAAGGCCAAGCGATGGGCACTGGCGGAGCTTCTGGGCATGGCTGCGAGGATGCCACCGACTAGGTTGCCACCCCAAGTTTCACAGAGCCAAACGTCTGCCCATTCAGAGAGGAAGAGTCTCAGAGAGAGAGAGAGAGAGAGAGAGAGAGATTGTCTCTTGAATGGGGCTTGTCCTCCTTCTCCCCTAGCCCTGGCGAAAGAAAGATTGTCTCTTGACCTTTGGGATGAAGACATCGATCCCCATGCCATCGTGTTCTGGCTCAATGACCAGCGTGTGAGCACACATCGCCATGATTGGGCGAAACTATCGGGGAAGGGTCCGATTCCGAGACTCGCAATGCTTGCAGAAAGGCTTGCTGCACGAGTACTGCCGACGTCAGGTGCCTCAATCTCAGGCGCTGCATACGCAGCATGCACCTGCGTCCGACCGTCGACAGGTCGGTCTCTTTCCCGTCGTGTCGTGCTTCACTTCTTGAGCTTTTTGCAGTGGAGGTAAGCCAGGTAAGCCATGAGAAGGTGCTGGAGAAAGCCGGATGCTTAAAGACTTCGGGCACAGTACCAGTAAAACGGAAGTGGGGGGCCTGAAGGGATGGTGTGGGGTTTGGGTTTGGTTTGGATCTGCAACTGAGATCCATGGCAACCTCTACGCGATTGTCGGCGAGGCTCGTTTCCTTGGGCCAGGGAATGAGGAGAGCGCATCTCTGCACTAGGCTGTCGACGAGATCAAGAATGAGGAAGAGAAGTGGAGCCGACAGGCGAGCCGGCGCCTGCGACCCCGCAGCCTGCTGCAGTGCTTGAGCCCCCCCTCGCCCGTATTTGCACAGGAAATGGTCAAAAGAATAGTTGGCTATATCTTCAAAGCAGCAAAGGCGCGTGCATCTGAATCTGCAGCCCGTATCGATGGCTCTTTCCGTCAGGCTCCCGAGCTCTTGACCCAGCCTTGGCAGGAGGTGCCCTACGACTTTCGTCTTTCACGTCCCAAGTCCCGATGCTCGTGTGGCTGAAAAGGTGGCTAGGACCGTGGTCAGCCACGGGATGTCCAGTTACCATGCAGCCTGCGGCGAGCGAACCTGGTTTTGGCAGGCCCCCTTCGCAGGACTTGAGATGGCACAGGAGGCACGTAAGAGCTGAAATGCTTTGCTCAGCTTGGTTTGGGCAACGCCTTCACCTCTGCGGTCTGGGAGCTCCTGCAAATGCCCAGCACTCGGTCTGTGACTGGGAGGCTCACTTTGTCAGAAGTCTGAATGGCACAGGAGAAACAGACCTGCAGCCCACTACCAAGACGTCCAGGCCAAGCTTGACTGCGCTCTTAAGATTCGGAAGATGTCTGGCGATGGCTCGCTCCGAGGACTATGTAGTGCGTGAGTTCGAGAACCACTTGGACAAGACGCTGTTAACCAAGGCAGAGATAGACATCACAACATGGCGAGACATGGATCGACATCTCCTGCCTTCGGGAGGGAGTGTGGGACGCCATTGCGTTGACCTTCCACGACGAAGCGATCCGAGCGAAGGCCCCGAGAGCGCGAGAGAGAGGTAGAAAGGGGGCGGGAAGGGCAGATAGTATCCAATCGGTGGTGGTGGTGGTGGTGGAGCAGTGTATGCGCCGCTGCAGCAGAGATCAGATCAAGGAAGCAACGAGAGCGAGACTGATGCAGGAGCAACGGGCTCTGGGGGAAGACAGTTACGGCCAGAGTGAAGGATCACAGATATTCACACATGACATGAGGTTTCAGTAGAGGGTGCATGACATGTTCGATGGAGGCACCTCTTTCGCATGAAACGACAAGTCTGCTTGAAGTTGGTTGTCAGTCAGTGATGCAGCACGCCAAGTTTCAGCACCTGATCGGCATCACCCCGGATCGAATCGCTATTTCTGTCAGTGACAGCCAGCCCCTCCGCCCATCCTCTACAGAAGCCCCGGTCTCCTCCACCTTGCAGCAAGGTTCATCGTAAGCACCAGGTGGGAAAGGGGCTGCGTTGGCCGACAAGAGACAAGCCGCTCAGGATTTTGTCCACAAAACCCTGCCCCGAGAATGTGAACCACGGAGAGGAATGAGAGAGAGAGAGTGGAAGCATAAAGCCCTCAATGTTCAAGGGGTGTGGATGCCTGTAGGTGTACAAAGCAGTTTACAACACACACGCGACAGCGCTGGAGGAGCAGGGGCCCCAGTTTCTTCGGCCTCGGCCTGTGCTGTGACGTCCCTCTGGCAAAGGCTTATGGACGATTCCAGACCGATGGACGATGTGCCGGGCTTGCTGTTCGATAGGGCCGATAGGGTACTTTGCCGCACTTCCTGAATTCACTTCACATGTCGCGGAGTTGTTGCGCTTAGGCTCGCAAGGTGGAGAAATTCACCAAGAAGTGGCTGGAGGCGAGCATGCAGCGGGCATGGAGCGCCATAGAAGACGTGGAGTCGGTGCTCACGCCTGGGACGGACCCCCAGCTGCCGATGCTCGCGTCCGTGTGTCACACAGCGCATCGATCCCTAAACTCTCGCCACTCAAGCGCTAAAGCCCCAAAGCCTCAAACTCCAAACCCCCAATGCTGGGTCCTTCATCTTAGGCCGTCCAGAGCCCTGATGCCCAAAGCGCCGAAATATCCTGAAATCCATCAAGCCGTCCAGCCAATTATGAGCACCTCTTCGGAGCAGAACCCATAGTCGAGTTCGCCGATGGCCCGAATCAACCCCGGGTGAAGCCGTCTACACCTAAACCCAAAGTAGTGCTAGGAAGATGATGGCAAATGGCAGATAAGACTTATCTCATCTGCGCATGAACGCCTTTGCCCTCCAACAATCTCAAACATCAGCGTGGCTTGCGCGCCGAGGCAGGTCACACGGCTTTTCCAGAATTTGATGGCGCCTTTTGGAGAGGGGCACGAGTACACGTGCATTCCCGTCACGCTCATAGAGCAGATCGGCAGACCACCGCGCAACTGGAAATTCTTGAAGATGCCTCGCCCTGAAGTGCCGCAGCCGGGATCTCTGCCGTTCCTGATGCACTTTCGTTTGCTGAGGGCCGTCCAGGACATGTTCCGCGAGTGGAGAGAGGTTCGGAATGGTTCGGACATGGGCCGTGATGAGCCTGGCTTGCTGAGCGATCCATTTCCGGGCTGTTGTTGCAGGGTGCCTCAGCCACTCAGCCGGCGAAACGAAGAAGAAAAGCAGCGGCTCCAATATCGGACGCGCTGCCTGTGGAGGAGGAGGTGGGAGCTTCTTGTCATCGTAGTCTATCACGAGTGTCTCGCTTCGTGATGCACAAACTCATGCGTGTTAGTAGAAACTGCTTTCTCAATCTGCTTGCGGACCTAGTGGATGCGTTGCTCTAAGATTTGTCACAACACTGCACTACATCTTCCTGCAAGCAAGCATGAAGCCAACGCCAATAGTAAGATGCTCAAGAATTCAGCAGTGGGCTGCTTCTACAGTACTCGTCTTTGCTATGAAGTTCTATAGAGGATGGAGCTTTGCGCTCAAATCAATAGCGATGCCTGGATCTAGACAAGCAAATTATGAGTCAGGGCATGGCCCTCAAGCTGCCCAGACCGGTGCCAGACCGTATGTCGTCGTGGGCTGTTTGGAAAAGACTTAGGAGGACTCGCCCAGTGCTAAGCAGGCAGATTCATTGATGCCGATGTGTGCCGCAAGGATGGAGAAAGGATCGAAGCTGAGCAGGCGTCACCATGCCACAATGTGTGTTTGAGATGGTTTGCGGCATTGAGTTTTGGATTGCTGACCGAGGCGACAAGAAACGACTGAGTCATGATCAGAAAGAGAGTCTGTTACGATTCGCGACAACAACGATAGCCCGCTAAGATCAGTGCAAACAACAAGGAATCGGAATATCTCAAAATAAACGGGGTCGGTCGGAGAGCAGATCCTCGACACTACAGGCCTGGTTGTTTAAATTGTAGACAGTGTGGGCGTGGAAAGGGCTTTAGCAGGGTTCTCAGGCAGGGGTCCTGCAAACTAAGGCTTCATGTTTCCACATACGGTGCTTCAGAGCGCAACTCGAAGCACCCTGACAAACAGCCCCCAAGCCATGTTACGTGAATTTCTGGGCCCGAGTGTACCCGAGCCTTTGACGTGTTTTTCCCACCTGCCGAGCTGCAAGGTCCCGATGAACGGGACGAACGGTTCGGCGAGACACGAGGCGAAACAAACCAGGTCCGATAGAGCCGAGATGTGTCCGGCATTCAGGAAGAGATGGAGGATCAGCTTTCAGAGCCCAAGGACACCGAACTCCCTATGCTCAGATTCAGGCGCGGATTTGTACCAAGCCTTGGCAGGAGATTGAGCCGAAGGCTGAAGAAGATGCAGGCCGGCTTGTCGTTTGTTTCATCCGCGCTTCAGACTTGGGACCTTGAGTCTTCTGCTACGTTGCCTGTTTTCATTCGTCCATCAGACAGCGTGCTTCCGACTCATTCCTGAGAGATAGTACAGGGGTTTGCATGTGGTTGCTGTAGACGCTTGAAGACGGTCGTCGATCGAGGAGATATTGGTTCAGAGTCTGATTGTTCTCTTTGAAAAGCATTAAGACCTGTTGTTGCTGTGTGTGTTAGCATGTTTCCGCCAGTGCTTCCGCGAGAAAGAAGTATTCATCGGACAGGTTCTGCGTGACAGGCGTTGAATCTGGCTGCTCATGCTTCTGATTCTGACTGTACATGTCAATCCGAATGAGCACATGAAGCGTTGGCAAGAAGCTGACGATGGTCACATTTGAGGAAGCCCGTGTTTTGCTCTTTTGCAAAATCGTTGACCCCTCGCTTCCTAAAAGACGCCTGTCCCCTAGCTGTGCTATGGTCCAGGGGTCTACCTGCATTGTTTTGCAGTAAAGGGGCATGTGTGAGATTTGGTGATGTTTGGTGGAGCTGGGGCGTACGGCAATGTGGAGATGGCCGTGGGACCGGTGCAAGTCCGAGTCAAGCGCCGCAAACCCATTACGCGAACGAATCTTTGTGCAGTCGCACAGTGTTTGGAATGCTTAGAAACAGTCATGTTACTTTCGATTTGTTCGAGAAGCGGAGATGTTCTGTCACTGTTCCATTGCGTGAGCCTGCAGACGATGCAGACATGGGTCACCCTGTTCCGATCCCAGTGTCTGCAGCCTTGGTGGCCAGTTTGACTGCCTGAGTGCTAAGGAGTGCACTTCCGCCGAGGAGTGCACCGGCAATAGCACCCTTCAGTTGGCCGGACCCTCGCAAGGAAAACCCAAAGCAAAGGGCTCTTTGACCGACCAGACAAAAGCCGTCTGTCGACCCTCTTGCGACCCGAAGCCTGCTCCCTTAGGTCAGGCATCTTCTGCAGGAGGACGACCCCGGGGATGTCTACTGCGAGGCACGTAGCATCTCTTCGAGACCGAACAGTCATATCCCTTTTGCCCCCAGGCCTGCTGGGCGGGCTACGTTGACGAAAACCCGGATCTCATGGGAGTCTGGGAGGCTCGAGACTCGTTTCGCGCGTCTTGAGAGAGAGAGAGAGAGAGGCTTCTGCAACATGGCACTGGGAATCACTGGGACGCTAAGTATCAGCCGCTGATGTAGTTTTCTACGGATCAGCATGCCATGTCCTCGCAGCTGGGCGAAGCAAATGTCTTGCCCATTGCCTAGCTAGTGCTATGAACAGCCGAGAGTTAATTCAGCAGGATGGCGAGCGCGCTGGTGAGCTTTACTCCGCAGACTCTTGGATCTTGGAAGACACACGACTTACACACCACTCCGATTTTCCCCAATAAGTTTCAGGTGTTACATCGGTCATGTGTTGTTGCGGGTGTGCTTGTGAACTCCTGTTGGCGCTAAGGAACCATGAGCGCAGAGCGTCTGTTTGTTAATTCCGTATCCGGTGTCAAGCCGGCAAGGGTGGAATACATGTCCGTTTCGGCATGCATCGGCCCGGGGAGCCTGAGCACAAGGCTGTCTCGGGTGTCATTCCGAAGTGCTTGCGCGAGCAAGGCGGCATGGCCATAGAAATGAAGGTGCTTTGCAAGGCTGCCTGCTTCTTGCGCTCGCGCGTCCCTTCAGTTTTGACGGCTCCGCTGGCTCCAGGCGCCAAAGTGCCCAGTGAGACCCCGACCCAGCACCATCCAGCACCCCAGGGCTTGCACACGTTACGGAGATCAGGTAGAGCTGCAGACCCCTTCGCAGTGCTAGTCATGTCAAGCTATAATCGAGCTGCGGTCGTTTGGCAAGCTTCCACCCAAACTGCGCTGTTCTGTCACAGCTCAACCTTGCTCACACGACTGGCATCAGCAGTACAGCAGCCCCTCCCCGGACTCCTCCACTTCTGTGTTCTGATGCACGATGTGCTTTGGACAGCGATGTGTGCCACGTTTGGTGCTGAGTGGCATGCAACAAGTGACATGCGTGCTTGGTGTCTTGGATTGATCAAGGAGGATGGGGGCCAGATGCTTACATCGGGGTTGTTGGGCTTTGATTTCCCTGCGTCGGTCCAGACTTCGGAAGGCTCCTCTCTCGTGGCTGCCTCTGAGGCGAGGTTGTGGAGTGGATGCTGTGAATTGACACGAGATGAAGTAGAGTAACTTTACTTCTCTGCAGAGACCGGTTGGGAGATATTCAGGCGGTGAGCCTCCAGACAATTGTTGCATGGTCGTGTGCCCAGGTCGAATCTTAGGCAACAGTGTCCTGCTGCTACGCTTAGAAGTGGGATCGGCCTTTCTCAACCGGAGCCTAGACTCTCTTAGGCCACTACGCAGCCAGCGCTGAAGGATTACGGCTACGAAGATCTCAAGGCCTGAGACATTTAGTGCCTCCAAGCATGGATTCTTCAGTCCAGCCCCTGCTTTGCGGTGTTGGTGGCTTGCCGGCCACCTCTCCATAAATGACGCTTCATGTGGTTCAGGTCATTGGTCGAGGCCAGTATGGAAAGGCTGGATGTGTTGAGGTGGTGAGCTTGTGACAGAGCCGGTATGTTAGAGACTTGAGTACGCGACCCCGGCGTACAATGCAATTCTGCATTAAGAACCTTCTGATCTAGCAGCTTTTGTGAAGCTGTTGAAGGCGCATTTGGTTCGCAGTGAGGGTGATGAGCAGTATTACATCGCCCTGCGCTTGGATTGTTCGAGCCTCAAGGAAGTGCAGTAGCTGGACTTGGCGAGCCGAGGCCAAGACAATTGATCTCACGTGTCTTTCAAGCAAGGCGGGAAATCGACGGCGACACTGGGCTCTACTGGCACATCATGCTTCAAGGTTGTGAGTCCATTGAAACAGGAGCGAGAGACCGCCAAGCAAGAGGTGGCTCTTCTGAGCCGTTGGGGGCCAAGATTCGCCAGTTTGGGTCAGTTCTCTGCTCCGCTTGGTATGACCGTTCCGTGGGTCCAAGGTCTGAATCACCCGAACATTGTCTCCTACAAAGATAATTTCTTCATGGGTGCCAATCAGGCGTGGCACGTCGTCGCACGTCGTTGCACGGCATGCCGTGTGACATGTGTTCCCTTCTTGTAGAAAATCGCTGCTCGACAGGATACTCTTGTCATCATCATGCAGTACTGTGAAGGAGGCGATCTGGCTACTTACATCAAGGACCGCAGACAGCAATGTTACAGTCCGAACAAGTGATTTGTCAAAATCGTGCCTGTGCTGGCCTTGATCGTCGTTGGCAGGCAGGAAGCACATAGCGTTCTTAAGATGAGACAGCGTACAAGAGTCCAGTTTGTTGAACTCTACATCGTCCAAGCTGTCGTCCTTTTCCGAAGAAACGAAAACCCTAATTACGCATGCGTCCGTGTGCCGAGAGGAGCTAGAAACTAAATTTGGCATCACGGGATTTCGGGACAAAGATGGCAATTTGGTCCAGAGGCCATCCGTTTTCTTTTGGAGACTCTGAGATGCTTTGAGAGGAACGGGGGCGGGAAGGTGCAATATAGCGCAGTGCTAGAACGAAAGAATGCTGTCACGGACATCCCTCGTCTCTCGGGTGTTATATAGTGCCACGCAGCTCTTCCTCTGTTACGCCTTCTGTGCTGCCGAGTTCCATCATGCCGCTTGTTCACTCGGTTCCCAGGACATGTTGAAAAAGAAGACGCGAATCGATGAGTATCAGATCATGCACTACTTCGTGCAGATCCTGCAGGCCCCAAGCCTCGCCGGAGCTTGCCGGTCTTGCAGTCGTCATGCGCAGGCATTGCAGTACATTCACGGCGAGCGGATCCTACACAGAGACCTAAAAACGTCAAACCTCTTCCTCATGAAGAGTAAGTCTGTTGGGGTCCAAGGACATTCAGGCTTGACATCCAGCATGTGTGTCGTTTCTGGAGCAGCCTCATCCAAGTGTTCGGTTCTGCGCTTGTCTACGCCGTTACGCACCGCTCCGCAATCTGTGTCAGCGAAGGTCGTGAAGCTGGGGGACTTTGGCATTTCAAGGGTCCTGGAAGGCTCCATCGAGGCAAGCGCCTCAAGCGTCGCGGTTGAGTCGTTTTTGTTGGTGGCTTTGGTGTGCCTGAGCTACGGGCCAGTGCCGTGCAGAGGCTGCAATCACTGTGGTTGGAACTCCGTGACCAGCTGCTGCGTTACAAGAATATGTCACTCGACAAGCTGACATGTGCGTGTTTTTTGGAGGTACTACATGTCGCCGGAGGTGTGCGAAAACAAGCCATACACATTCAAGAGTGATGCCTGGCACACAGACTCTGATTGCACGCGTTTCCCGAACCGCAGCGGGATTGTGCCTGGAACCTCTTCGGACGCATGTCCAGGTCTGGTCTCTGGGATGCTGCCTGTACGAACTTTGCATGCTGAAGCATGCCTTTTCTGCCGACAACCTGCTAGGGCTGAAGCCTCAACGACAAGGGTTAAGTTGTGCCAAAGATTGGAGTAGACACTGAGGCTTGTGTACAAGATCGTCAGCGACAAGTATGAGTCTGCGGCCTTCCTGTCTTTTTTGTTGTTAGGATTTGCTGTGCGAGTCTTTGCGAGGCCCATCCCAGAGCGCTACACACCGCAGCTGAACACGCTTATTCAGCTGCCGTCTTAACTACGGGAAACTTAGGGCAGATCGTCTACGAAAGCCTTGCACCTGCCAAGGCGAATGCTGGAGAAGAACGCAGAGCAGCGACCGAGCGTACGGGACCTTCTTGCCGACTCTTATGTGCAGGCACGTTTTCCATATGGCAACATGCTGTGTTCTTCAGCAACAATATATGAATACTGGAATTGTCCTGTCTCCCTGTGCAGTCTTTCATGAACGCGGCCGTGCAGAATCGCCATACCAGTGGCAAGCCCAGAGCGGAAACGTGGACTTGTGAGCCTACGACTTGTTCAGTGTTTCAAACACAGGCCAGGCGGCACACTCTTCGGTTTCTCAAGCATGGGAACACCGTGAAGCCATGGAAAGCCGTTTTTTGGCGCATCAATACTCATGGATGTCGGGGGTGGGTCGGGGGTGGTTGAAAAAGCCGCATCCTGACTTGTCCAGCCAGCCTTTACAGACTTGTCCAGGAGTTTTGCAGATCAGATCTTCCGACTTTAGCCGTCCCGCCTTTTCCCGAATCCGTCCAGCTTTGTCCCCAAACCGTCCAGACTTATCCCCACCAACGCCTAGGACGGGTACCGTCCAGACTTATCCCATAAACTTCCAGGCCTACCCCGAAACCGTCCAGATTTATCCAGTACGCACATCCAGACTTATTTCGAAACTATCCAGACATAGATGTAGGACTGGGATAAGATGGGGATAAACGCAACCACCCCCCAACCCCCCCATCCCCCACCCACCCAGCCACCCACCCCCCCGCCCGCCCACCCTCCCACCCACGCCGGCATCCATGAAGTTCTTGCGTGCGACTCCCGCACGACAGCCTCATCAGTCTTTAAATTCCACGCAGATGTTCTCAAGCTTGCTCTGAAGCCTCGCTGTGTGGTCGCTTCGAGGTCAAAGCACAGCCGAAGGGCCGGGGCCTGCTCCTCCAGGCGGGCGCGTACCCAACTGAAGCTTCTCTCGTCTCGGTGTCTCGGTGAGTTTGGAAGAATTTTGAAGAAAATGTGAGGCGGTGTCACCTTGCCGCGGAGCTCCGGCAGCGTACGGTCAGGCGCCAGGCCCAGTTCAAACTCGAGGTCATGGCGTTTACGGTTTTGCATGTCAGTGTGTCGTCAGTCCCCACCAGGTTTCAGCTGGTCGGGTAGCTTCGCGATACTGTAGCGGTGATTGTCGGTGATTCAACTTCGATCCTGCTTCACCGGCCACAGCTCGAGTGCAACTCTTGGCCAGGAGTCCCCGCAGCTTTCTTTGCTTTCAGCTGAGCTGAGGCGCTTCTGGGCCGCCGCCCGAGCGACCGCCCTTTGCACCGGCGGAGGTGCAACGTGGGATTCGGCCTGGCCTTGGGCCCAGCGGCCCCCAGTGGCCCCCAGTGGCCCCCAGTGGCCCCGCGTTTGCGGCCCTGAAAAGTCGCCCTTCTTTTTGACTTGCTGAGGACAGAAGCCAGTGCGACAGACTGGACACTGCCTCAGAGCTTGAGGAGGGCAACCATTGCCTTCAAGATTGTCAAGTGCTGTCCATGAGAAAAGACGCTGCTTCGTCAAGTCTCGCAAGCAGCACGTCACAGCCGAGGCAGAACTGCTGCATCACGTGCCTGCCTGAGCATGGCGTTTCGAAATCTCTGTATCTGAAGACTTGAGTGCATTCGGGATGTACTGTAGACTCCTGACTGACCAGCTTGTTAGCATCCTCAGTCTTGTGCTGGCAGGGTTGAAGTGTCCGAGTTGTGCAGTGGTCAGTCGCGAAACTTAGGCGCGGCTGCGCGGGCTTCAGAGACGCCCAAAGAGGCGGCTGCCCGGCGCAAACGCGAGGCGGCAGAC